GTGAATGCTGAAACAACTTTTGAAGAATTACTCAATCAACAAAATTGGCCGACCAAAATCAATGATTGTGAATTTGATTTAAAAATTTCACGAGCTTTACCTTCAATATATTCTTTAGTAATCCAACAATTCTTTAATAGCTGGAACTTTGAAGACGTTTTTGAAGATTTAAAAACCTTGTATCCTACATTAATTAAATTAACAAGAATGTATTCATTTAACAACAAACCTTTAAAGTTAGTGCGTGCCGATTTTTGTTCACTTCAACAAGTCAAGAAATTACTTGACGATGGTCGTATAACAATTGGTCATATGAAGAACTTAGTGAAACCATATCATTCTCCTGCAAAGATAAGCAAAGGCATGAAATGTTACAGTCATCATCACACCACAAATGAATGCACTAGCCAAGTTCAACTATGTATCCGGTGTGGATTAGATCATCCATATAACAATAATTGTCAAAATGAAATAAAATGTATTAACTGTAGTCAAGACCATTATGCAGGTCATTCAGCCTGCCCGGAAGTACAACAAATTAGAAGACAAATAAGTCAAAACCAAAGAGAAAAAAGAACACAATTATTAATAAATCTAGAGCAAGATCAACAACTTCATTACAATAACAACAATCAATCATTTCCACAACTACCTTCTACATCAATACAACAACAACAACAACAGCAACATCAACCACAAAGATATTCCTCTCAGCCACAAACGTATGCATCAATTATACAGGCTCAAACACAACATCAACAACAACCGCATAAAAATGACTGAACTCATGTTTATATCGAAAATATCTTAACAACATTTTCAAATAAAATTGAATATCGACTACAACAATTTGAAGAACGACTAATTAATCAAGTTATAGAAGTAGAAAAAATTGTTGACAATCTTAAAAGTACTACTTCTGAATTAGAAACATTAATATTTGAAACAATTTTACCATTAATTAAAGCTATGCAAGAATGTTCTTTTGTCAACACAAGAAGCACATCAACACGTGAAGATTTAACCAGATATAAAAATGAAGTAACAAACCTATTAACAAGAAGAAATAATAATAATAATACAAAACCAAACATGAGTAATACATCGGACAATCGAACAAAAGGAGTACCAAAAACTATAGCAACAAAACAAACACCATCTACACTTTTCAATGACAGTGAATAATCTTAGAAACATAAACTCAGAAGCAAATATCATAGAAGAAAAATTTCAACATCTTTGTTCTGGTCTATCGCAATTTCAAATGGCCCTAGCGCGCTCTGCATTTTCCGAATGGAATGATAACTCAAATAAGATGCAAGTAATCAACAACTGGCTACAAGAAATCAAAAAACCTGAGATTCACGTAACACCATTATCAATCCTTCATTACAATATACGACATTTCTTTTCGAACCAATGCGACTTGCTCGATATGGTTACACAATACAATCCAACTATAATTTCGTTAAATGAAGTACTCATGTTCCTGATAAAATTATTAAGCAACTTCTATTTTCATATAATATCTTTACCAACAAAGGTACTAATCCACATGGTGGTGTTGTATTAGCTGTCGATAAAAAGTTAAATTCTATTCAAATAAAAATTGATCAATTGAATATTGTTGCAGTTCAGCTTATAATTAAAAACCAAACATGTGCGATAGTATCAATTTATTCCCCTCCAAATGAACTATTACCTATACAAATAATGTCATCATTAACCAAAAATTTTAAAAATATCATAATTGTTGGTGATCTCAATGCTAAACATCCGAACTGGGGGTGTACCTCTATTAATCACAAAGGAAAAATTCTTGCTGAATGGCTTGATATCAATGAAATGTATGAAATTCAGAATCAAGGTATGAAACTTCCTTACGATCGGACACTACAATTGATCTAGTACTTACAACACCGACTATTGCATTATCACAATGTACAACACTGCCGTATACAGGTAGTGATCATCTACCAATATTCTTTGATTTAAGTGGAATCAATTTACAAGGAAACTCATACATTATCTCAAAAACATATTGGAACATTTATAGAATTCTATTAACTACGATTAGTTCTTATATTCAACAAGAAAACGTGAAAGCACTTCCAGATAATCAATTTGAATGGTTTACATCTTTTCAACAACTGCTGCACGCAATTAAACAAAGAGTAACAACATTCCATATGACAAAACAACAACGATCAACGATATCTCCTTCATTACGAGCATTGCTCAAGCACAAACACTACCTGCAAAATAAATACAGACATAACAAACTGGAAGAAGATAGAGTACGACTACGTTCATGGAACAAATTAGTTCAGTATGAATTGAAATCTTTTCGACAAAACAACTGGAACACTTTCATAAGTCAAGTTGCATCTCCTAACCCGAAGAATTTCTGGCAAACATTAAAATGTCTCAATAAGAAGAAATCATGCAACTTTTCAGCCATTACAGAAAATGATCACATGTACAAAACACCTGGTGAAATAGTTAATATTCTACATGAACATTTCTCGAATAGATTTGCTGCTCCGAATTTATGTGACAATAACACCACCGATGTATTAGCTTCAAAATTATGGGATAATTTATCCAACTCACACCAAGAAGATATTGAGCTGGTTTGTGAAAATTCCGATCTTAAATTCACTACTCGTGATCTAAAATTGATAATTAAAAATATGAAAAATTCAAACTCGTCGTGTTTTGATGGCATATCAAATAAAATGATTAAACTCCTACCGGAAAGTTATTACTCGTGTATAATTTCAGTGTACAACACAATGTTCAGGAATGCCTTTTGGGACAAGAGCTGGAAGCAAGCCAGAACAATTTGTCTCAACAAAGTGGACAATCCAGCACCATTTACCAATCAGCTTCGACCAATATCGCTTCTTCCCACCTTTAGCAAAATATATGAAAAACTATTTCTGACAAAATTTGACAAATGGATACAATTGAACAACATTTTACCAAATCAGCAATCTGGATCAAGACCCCACCTATCCACATTAACAAGAGTCAATCATATCACGGAGCAACTAATCCAATCATTAAATCACAACTCGTTCTCAGTGATTGTATATGTTGACTTTCTATAAGCATTTGACACGCTATGGCATCAAGGATTTATTTTAAAACTATATCAACGCCATTGTCCGTACGCTTATTTATTTTGGATAGTGAATTACTTTAAAGATCGCACAATAACTATTGACTATCAAGGGCATCTGTCCAAAAAAGTTGACGTATCTCGTGGAGCACCACAAGGTTCATGCTTTGGACCTAAAGCTTATATTGTAAATCATTTTGATTTACCAACCATTTTTGATTGCCCATGTGAAGTACATCTATATGTTGATGATTTGGCTATATTATATTCTCCATCAATCTATCTGAAATATTCACAGCAAGTGGACGAAATACAAACAAGAATTAGCAACGATCTTCTAAAGCTAGCTAGATGTGCTGCATCAAATCATCAACCCATCAATAATAAGAAAACAGAATTTGTCATTTATCATAAAACAGTTCAAATTCCAAAAATTCAAATTTTCTATCAAGGTCAATCTATCCTACGACAAAACTCTTTCAAATATCTAGGCTTCCACATTGACTCTAAATTATCATTCAACGTCATGATCAATGCTCAACTCGTCAAATTAAGAAAATCATATTCAATACTAAAATACATTCATAGAGCATTTCCAACGTTCTTTGCGCTGAAAATAATTTTTTTTCAAACATACACATGGCCTCACTTATACATGCTTGCATCAATCTTCTGTTTATTCTCAATCACTAATCAAAATCGTTTAAATTCATTCTACAGGCGCTGCCTCAGACTCATATACTGTACTTATAGAGTATCTTCAGCTGATCTTCACCAAACATTAAAATTACCAACTTTAAAAGAAAAATTTCAAAAAAGTCTTCTAAAACGAATGAAAAATATACAAATATATGAACAGGATCTCTTGGATTGTTTTATATCATACAAAAATATTAAGAATAATGTACATCAACATTACGATGACAAACCAAATATAATTGGTCTTCCGATTGGAAGGCCAAATAAACGAATCATATCTCTTACAGAATTCAACAGCTCCACCTTTCTTGACAAACTATGTAACTTCACATGGACAAATTGACAAATTGGAAATATAGCAAACGCACTACTATTATCATCACAACTCCTGTCCGTTAATCCTTAATTCTTCTTTCATTTCTTTTTCTTGTACAAATCACTATCATTAGGCTGTCAGCACCCTAGAGGTGAATTGGCCTCCCAAATAAACATAAGCATTAATAAAAAAAAACAGAGACTTAGATCAAGAACAATTTTTATTTTTACTGTTAACATAAGAAAAACTCAGCTACAGGTTGACCATTTAAGCATATTCTTAATAGTTGTTCTAAATTTTATTTAACAAAAGGTTTTGGAGCGTCTAGCTTTTCATGGAATTCGATATTGTTGTTGCATATGAATATGAAGATGCTTTAATAATAGAAGACAGAATACTTCGAATACTTTTGATACACAAATTTTAGTGGTCTACTCACGTGGAATGCCATGAGCACATGTCACACTATATATTCGACAAATGATTGCTTGTTTTCTTAGGCTTTTGCGGTTTGAATGATATCAGGATGCTCAATTATCGAACAAAACATTAGAATAACTATGCAAGCTGATCCTCTTGTTTCTGATTGCATATCTATCGAATAATGTATGTATAATGAGTAGAAAACACTTAACTAAATATATTTTTCCCAACAAACATGCTCAAAAACAAAGGTTTTCTTCTATAGAATCATTTTCACTAAAGCAAAATATTGATGAAACATATTCTATTGATCAAAAGTCTCTATATTGATTCCTCCACTTTATCGGTCAAATCTATCTGAGTAGCCATCCTATTCTCTTCGATCATACTTCGATGGAAAGCTTACTATTCTTATGCCTTTAGTCGTGAATTTATCTCGATGAATTCTATAATTCATTCCATGTTACATGCAATGTTTTCTTTTCTTAATCATCTACTTATCTTAATAGGTAGGTAAGTTATTTTAAATTATTTTCATAAGATATTTCTAACTCATAATTTATACTTTTCAATACTACATTTTCTCTATCTATTCAAGGAATTTATTTAATCTCATGAATACAACACTATCCCAATTTTTCTTTTTCTACCATAACATGACTCTAGAATTTAGTGAGGTCAATCAACTAATTGAAATAAAACATATTTTCACTTTTACTCTTTGGATTGGTTTTATATATCCATATATCCCGTGATTTTATTCCAAATATTAAATTAAAATACAATTTCATTTTAATTTATCGATATTTTTCGATTCCTGAAATATCGTCAGAGCCAGTGACTTTGAATGAACGCATTCAATAAAAATTGAATATTATTTTCATGTTTAGATTCGCTTAATTTTCATAGGCCTGGCGAGTTGGAAAATTTTCTTTAAATTAACATACAGTTTCATTTTTATTTGCAGATTCGTTTTATATCTTAGTACATTAGAAAAGTTTGTTTAAAGTATTGTACAAAAAATGAAATTTTATTTTCATCCTTAGATTCCTTTTCCTTTCAATAGGTCAGGTGAGTTTGAATCAATTTATTAAATTAAAATATAATTTTCGTTTTATTTTTAGATGATTGTCGTAGAGAAACGTTTGGTGAGCTACGAAATTCATTCATTAACTGTTTTGGTTGAACTGTGTTCTACATGTAAATAACTGCTTGTTAGTTTTAATGGCTTTGGATGTGAAAAAAAATGGTGAGTTCAAATGACTTTTCGACGAAAACTTGGTTTGTTTCTTGATGTTTGAGGTAGAGAAGGTCGTCATGTTTAGCTTGCTGACGACTTGGTAATGATGCAGAAAGGGTGTCTGGATAATTAAAGTTTTTCTCTGAATCCTACGTATTGGTAACCTTTAATGACTGCTTTAGTTCTTGGTACGGATAGGTTCAAAGAAGAGTCTCATTGAACGGATGCAGCGACTGTGAATGCTTGTTGCTTCTGGCATAAAAGTGTTGGCTATCCGTCTAGTCTAGTTTGGTAGAGTTGTTTCTGTATTCAGAAATCTTTTCTTTGGGTTTTCGAGGATACGTATTTTTTGTAGATTGTGTAGATATGGTTTTCCGTCTGTCTTTCCCTCAATGATACCTACACTAACACCCATCCAACTATTTCAGTTAAAGAGAGAAATTTATTACAGACTCAAGCATAGTAAAGCTGATAGTAGACGAATAATGTTGATAAAAAGAGGTGTGTATTGTTCAAATCAAAATAGTTGTCATTGTAAGCAAATCAAACATATGCAATGGGTCTTGTGTTGATGCTAAATTCTTCAATCATGTAGTGTTCTTCTTGTTAGCTTCTGTAATAACTTCTTTTGATGCACTATAAAATTCTGCATTACTCAAAAAAGACACATAATAATGATTATCAGCTACTAAAACTTTTCCATTGTTTAAAACCGATGCAGTGTGCTCTTTGTCTTGTTTCATATTCAAATCTTCGTCTGTTGTCCATGATCCTGTTAATGAATCGTATAATTCTGTAGTACTTCCCAGACAACTCTCTACATATCCACCGATAACTAATACCATTCCATTTTCTAATAGAGTTGCTCTATGATTAAATCGCTTACAATTCATGCTGCCAGTTTTTGTCCACGACTCCGTTGATGGATCGTATAATTCCGCACTACTTAGCACAAAATCAGAATCATGTCCGCCAGCAACTAACACTTTTCCATTTGCTAATAGAGTTGCAGTATGCGTAAATCGCCGTTGATTCATGCTGCCAGTGTTACTCCATAACTCTGTTGATGGATCATATAATTCTGAACTATTGATTACTCGATTAGTATTATCGCCACCAGTAACTAAAACTTTGGAAGTTTTTAACACAGTGGCCGTGTGTTGGCTTCGGTGAATATTCATATTATCTGCATGTGTCCACATGCCTGTTGATGGATCGAACAATTCTGCACTGTTTAAAAATAAGAATAATCCATCATCACCACCAGCAACTAAAATCTTCCCCTTTCATAACAGAGATGCTGTGAACGCGCTGCGCGCTATATTCATGTTGCCAGTATTCTCCCACATATCTGTTAATGAATCATATATTTCTGCACTAGATAATCTGTCACCGTTCCCATATCCACCAGCAACCAACACTTTTCCATTTTCTAACATGGTAGCAGCATGATACATTCGTACAGTACTCATACTACCAGTTTTTATCCGCAATTCTCTTAATGGATCATATAATTCTCCACTACTTGTGTACTTTTCAAGATCAAATCCACCAAAAACTAGTACTTTTCCATCTTTTAATGTAAAGGCTGTGTGGTGGTCTCAGAAGAAGAAGTTTCGTTTATATATTACTCGAAAAGTTTGCTCCGATTTTTGGACAGTATTCATTCACATCGGTTTTATGGGAAGTGATTAAATGTGGAAAATAATAATGAGTGCAGAACAATAGAAGTTTTGAGGAACTATGGAATTAGCATCATCAATAGATATTGCAATATTCATAAGGAAATATTCGTATGATAATCTTTGTTCGTATATCAAGAGAACAACACTTTTTCAATTGAAAATTGTCTCATCGGAAAGATTACACCTAATTATGTATTCAGTAAAACAAAACTATCTTCTACAAAATACTGTAGTCTATTTTCGAACGAGAAATCATCTATAAAAACAGTGACAAGCGAAAAAATCAACGCTCGCCGTTATTTCATTGCGTTTCGCTACTTCAGAAAACTTCTACACAGGTGGAAAACGACAAATATTTAGTAAAGGCCTAATCCAAGTACTCCTAAGAGATTTAACTTTAATAATTAAATGTATTGATCATCGAAGACTAATCTAACTCAAAAGTAAAAATTTTCTAAAGCAACTCAGTAGTTGTCGAGTTCGAAAAGAATAAGCGTTGTCAAACGGTCGAGTATCTCGAACTCCATCAGACTTAGGGTATCAGTATGGGGTAAGATGCTGTGAAAATCCTTTTAGACAACTTCGTAGAAATCGACAAGTTCAGCTCTAGCTGACAACCGATGAACTGATCAAAACATTTACTGATACGAACTGAACTAGTTGGACAGCTCTTTTGAGCGAATGGAACTTTTTCAAATAGTTCGTTTCCAATGAATCGAGTTGTTTCAACAATTCTTACGAACGAATTGAACTTTCTAAACAGTTCTCTTCAAATGAACTAAACTTAAAGTTAAAAAAGATATTATCCCATGAGCGTACCTATAAGTTCTCAAAGACTATCCTATGAGGTTACTCTAATAGATCCTGAAGGGCTATCCTGTGAGATTACTCTCATAGGTCCCGAAGAGTCACTAAAAGGAATATCCTTAGATCCTCAAAGACTGCCAGATAAGGGGGTCATTGAGTCCTCAAGGGCTACTCATCAGCAATGATTGGATAACCATTTGGGATGCTTGACGCAGCACTATCCATGGTTAGGCCACCACCTGGGATGCACTTGAGAACCGAAGGATACCCCCTTATGTTAGGACTTGAGGACTTAAGGGTACTTTTGTAGGATAGCGCTTGAGAATCTATGTGTATCCCTATATAACAGGACTTGAGATTCTATGAGTACCTATATATAACAGGGTTTGAGAACTTACGGATCTACCGACAGCATACTTAAGGAGTCATTGCTATCCAGCCTGGGGTGCCCCTAGGAGATTCTGAAGATGATATGTAAGTTTTCATGATAATCAATTCCTAGAGCTGAAATCTTTCAAAAGGTTCAGTTCGTTCAAACGAGCTGTTCGATCAGTCTTTTAGTTTATTTCGACGGAGTTTGTGACCCTGAGCTGATCGGTCCATACAACTTCGACAAGCGGAACATTCTCATAAAAAGTTCTCAAGGATACGTTAAATATATTAATTTGTGCTATTTATTCAAAAGAAGGAAAAGTAAAAAGTTGTTCCTGCACTGCATTCTAGGATACTTCAAGTTTCGAGTATCAGATATGGAGTGAGTTCTAACTCGTGCTCGTAATTCCCTCTGACATTTTTGGGATGAAATAGCTAAGGAATTCTCGACGATATCGCTTGAACGCATCTATGAAGTACGCTGATATTAAGTACTGATTAAGTAAAACATTTCCACTTTGCTCTTCTTCTATTCTAAATTTGTGACCCTCCTAAACTGTTTTTGCCTTTCAACACATTTGTGAATACTGCAAAGGCTACTATCTCTTTAATTTAGAAGATTTGAGATTTAACTCGATCTTATTCCCACTGATGTTAAAATCTCAGTTTTGCCACCAACGCACAGAGTGCTCAGGCACAAAATGTTCCATATTTATTTCTTCTCAAATATATAACTTGACCTTCAGAAACCAGTCAATCTGACTTATCGAGACATTATTCCAATTTTTCTTTAACGACCGGCATTATATAAGCAAGAGCTTACTTAAAAGAGTTGTCGTTGTTGTTGCTGCTGTGATTGTCGTAACTGCTGCGACTGGTATGACCGTTGTAACTGTTGTGACTGATATCACTGTTGTAACTTTTGTGACTGGTATGACTGTTGTAGCTGGTGTTTTCATTGATTCTATTAAACGAATAAGAAAAAAGTATTTAAAATATTTTCTCAATTAGTAGCATGAAAGTTAACGAGGAAGTTTTGGTAAATTTTGAAGCGTAAGTATTTAGTTCATAATTATAGTTTCATACTGACAAAACTCCGAAGTGTCAAGAAGCTTTTCAGTTTTATCTCCACGTGAAAAATAATGTAACAGAATCTATTAGAACTTTTCGATCAATTATCGAACTTCCACGGGATGATCCTGTATTTTCATGCAAAGTCTTTACAATATTCATTTTCGAGTATGATCGACTAGTCATTCAGTTTTTAGATTTTATTGGACACATTGCAAGATTTCTTGCTCTCGGGAATCTGTCAGATGGCTTCCATAGTTATGAACGACCCGAACAGACCGAATTTTAATTTATGATGATTCACTAAAGTTCTATTGATTTCAATAACAATCAGGAGATGATCATTTTGACCTGAGTTAAGTTAATACTATTCCTGTAGAAATATTATTCGGAAATACGAGACATTACCTATAATATGCTTTCCATGCTGAAAAACGATGTAGAAGTCATAAATTTGTTAGAAAGTATGATCAATACAAGGACAGATCTAAGATTGCTTATAAAATGCATGTCACTTTATGGCTTATTTTAATTTGTATCTTTTTATCGAGCAAAGGATAATGAGCTGAAAACAAAACTTATTGACTAAAATTGGATCGTTAAAATTTGTCTGTTAGTTCATCGTTTTCATCATACATTCGACGAAGGATTATACAAAAACAGATCTCTCTTTTTTCAAGTGCCATATTTTTACATTAGTGTCATGTTTCCATTGGAAAATGATCTTTTACATAGAAGCAAGTAACGCTAATGCGATAGATTAATTAGCCTTATTCTGAAAAAATTTCAGTCATTCATTTTTTATTCGTTTAATTTATGTCTTGTTTTAGCGTAGTTCTTTTCCAACTTCATAAAAACAATCAATAGTAAAGCGTTAAAAATATATCGCACATTATTAGATGTGACCTTACATTCGAAAAAGAAATCGTATAATTGAAGAAGGAAAACAAGATGTAAGGGTATAGTGTTTCTTTTTTGGAGAATTCAGTGATAAGTTGCTTCATCCATAGAATTTTTCTCTACCAAAAGACACCTGTTGCATCTATAACTTTGGTTAATTAGATTCCAACATTCACTATCAAATCTAAGCATCGGGATTGCCGCTGAAAATTAAGCCATATATTGGTTTTCTGATCAAATACTACTTTTTTCTTGTAGAGCCTCTCAAAATAATAAAACAACAACCAAAAAATTATTTATAAGGAGATTGAAACATGACAATGTCTCACTGTTTGAGCGATCGATCAGAAATCGATAAACCATAGCAATCACAAGTCTAATAAGTAGATAAATTTCCTTCATATTTGTTTATGGTCTGTCATTTTCTTAATATTCGCATCACTTTTCAGCTCCCTAGCATTATTGTAGAATTTTACAATGTTTCAAAATCTTTTCAACGCCATGCAGCATCTCACTATGTTTTGGTGCTTGAGAAGATGCTGATATTTTATTATTTGATCGCTGAGTGAGAACACTATCATATATTCTTTGTGTCAAAAGTCAGATACCTGTATTATTGATCACTGTCACTGTAGATGGTGTAGTCTTTCTGGTCAAAACGATAGGTACAGCAATTGTTGTAGCTACAACGCATGCCACAATAAGAATTGCAAGAAGGGTTAAGACGAAGCATCTAAATGTTAAAATATTCTGCGATTTAAGATAATAAACTATTCAGCGCCAAAAACCTTTTATCTTTATTTTGTGGATATGTCGAGATTTGCGGTACGTCTTCGGACATATTTTAATGCTTCTATTCTTTCCAAAAATGACTTATATTCACTTCAGAATTCAATATTTAAGTAAGAGAATATTGAAAACTATGGACTACAGCAGCTCTTTTTTTCATATATTTGCGCATGTTTGTGCGTCAATATGTTTCCTGACTTTCTGAAAGTCTCATTCATAAATAAACGTTCAAATATTCGCGTGAGTCTTGTGCACATATTAAATCATGCATGTCCTGAGCCGATGTTGATTGATCAATTGCAGTAAACACGTCATTTATCATCTCTTGACACTATAAATCACACACAATGAAACGTGTTTTTTTAAAAGATAAATCTCACTATTATTTTTTTTCCTGAATTTATTCCTCTTTGAGTGATAAAGCTCATAAGTTTTAATTCGACAGAAAGGCCAACTCTCTATACAGTTTCTTATAATTTCATAATAACACATGCTGATAATTTTGAATGTTGGTGTGGGTTGCTGTGAAAAAGAAAATATTCAAACTCAAACACACACTAACATAATTAATCGATAGTTTCTATTAATTTTGACTTTACATAATTACTTATGCTCTTTAAACATATCTATGAACCATGCTTCATGCTTGGTAATAATTTTTATCTAGATAAATTTTCTTATAAAAGTTTATTTTTAATTATCATTTATACTACAATAAATTATAGTTTTTTTTACTGAGAGAAAAAAAATTCATCTAATTAAGATGATAAATAACGACATATATACTTTTATAGTGTTCCTACAAAGTAGAAACATTATCTATAGATTATGAAAAAATGCCGATTATGGTACGTATTTCTAACAGACCATTTACAAATATGAATCTATGAATATCGCCTGCACATAATGAATGACTTGAGTAAATATTTCTATACATTTAACAAGAGAATATTATTATAAAAAGAATAGTGAAATTCCAGCGTCTTGGAAATATTTATTCTTATGAAAAAAGATCGGATATATGTATATTAGGAATTATTCTTTCATGTTGATTAAAACAATAAATTAAGATAGACTTTTTTTTGAAAATTTAGTTCGAAGTAAGTAAAAATTCTCTTCCATTACCATACGAACCTGAAATATCATTTATGTCTCATATGAAAAGATAGCAGGCATCTATATTTACCTTTAATACTTTCTCCATATATGAAAGATTTTCTGTCAATTTTATATGTTGATTATTCATTGAATTGTTTATTTTGTGTTTTTTTGTTAACAAGACTTCGCCAAGATGCAGACGAATATCGATAGTTATACTGATTAATGAATGAGAACTGAGTTAAACGAAAAAACTTATTAACAGCACCCTTTAATTAAATAAATAACAAAGATTTTAATTAGTTTTCGAATATCCTACGACGTTTCGACAAATTTATTGTCATTATCAAGTAGTAAATGATTATACAATTAACGCAAAGAGTTTACATGATTTATCGTGAAGAGGTGAGACAAAGAGAAGAAGACAAGAGGAGAGTATATACAGTTGGTGATGAGTAAGAGACGATTGACAATTTAGTGGATAAGAGCAAGCATCAGAGGAGGGTAAGAACGAGTAGTGGATAATTATTACTTACAAAAGTTATTATGAACAGATAAAAGTGTGTAATTGGTAAATACTATATACCATATTATTACGATCAAGTAAGAGGAAGTAGTTGGAAATTATTAAGTACAGAAATTATTAGGGTGTGTGTGGGTGTAGATGTGGGTGGGTGTGGGTGTGGGTGTGGGTGTGTGGCTGGGTTGTGGGTATGGAGGATGAAGAACCCTGCATCCGCATCCATCCACAGCTACATCCACACACTCTCATTTACACCCACAGCCGCAGTCACATCTAAACACCCTCATTCACACCCACACCCACACCCACATTCTCATAACCAATCAGCTCATTGCAAATTATTCTTCTTCTTTCGTTCTTACATGTCATCCTATATTTTTATCAATTCTTTATCGCATCCAGTGAATATTCAAAGACACCATCATCATCAGTTAGTACAAAAGCTCTAAAATTTATACATATATGTTGAATTTTATCGGAATTTGTTTGAATTATTTCAATCTTCATGTTAGAAAACGGTATTATGTGCAAAATCTGTAAGAAATAGAAAAAAATTGCTTTTGTTTTCGTCAACAAATTCAACAACAAAAAAGAAAAGATGAAAAATTTAAGAATTTCTCTTTATCCTTTTTTGTGTCAAAATTGTTTCTACAATTGGCTCATCAATAAAAAAAACAAATATCTTTCTTAAACCTTTTTCTGAGACTTTAGATACTGCTCTGTAACTTTAGATCTAGTTGTTGTACAACTAATTTTTTGACTCTTGATTATTCATGCACATGTTAGTACGAGACCAGTCAAAAACTAAGTATAATACGAGCGTTTCGAGCGAAAAATTAGTCAACATAAGAAAAAAATCTAGTCATCTATGATTAATGATAACCATTTTAATTGTATCGAGAAACGAAGTCTTCAGCGTTATTTGCGTATATTGAAGTTAAGTTCATTTTTTATGATTTATGAACTAATCATCTGATTGTACATGTGTTATATCTTTGGCTTCTTCTCGCTCTCATCAAGCAATATCACTGTTGCTTGATAAGGAAAAGGCATATAATAACGATAAATAGCTCAAGCAGTATCTAATGATTTTATTACGAAATGAAAACAATTCAAAATAAAACAATTTATTTTATCGAAGGCCAATCGAATTAAATACCGTTTTATTTTAACTGGTATTTCAAAATAGTCTCGAAATTGTAAATATTGGTAATTTTTTGCGTCATATTATAAGCTCTCTCTGATGTTGCTCAGCTTCTTTCGTAGAACATTTTGATTTAATCAAGTGTATGATTTTTTATTCTTGTTCATGTTCCGAAGTCGTAACAGAGTGAATCAATCTTGTAAAACTTTAAAATTTCATTAACTCATTTCTGTATGTGCGCTTGCAATAAGACAGATTCGAGAGAAAAAAGTCATTTCATCAAACAAATACTTGGGCGTGAACAAAATCAGACATAAAATGCATATAATTGAAGAGATTAGTTACGTTGAGAAGTATCTATTTTTTTTTTCGTTCTCTTGGGTATTTTGGCATTGATTTTTGTATAAAATGTTTTGCTCGGATTGAGAGGTACT